GCACCCTCTTACCTCTCCCCGCCCCGCTCCCCCCCCCCCCCCCCCCCCCCACCCATCTCAACCAGGTCCCTGCAATAGCTACGTCATCATTGTTATATGTATTAATCTAATCTCTCGGTTCATCTGCCGAACATGTCATACATTAAAACACAATCACCTCTCCACCAGTCCTGCTGTGTACAGTAACCTCTCCCTGTCAGTTCTTCCTCTAAGTCTGACTGGCCTTGGCCTCTGACTCCTCCACGGCCATTTTACTTGCTGACTTTACTTGAGGTATGTGATTCATATTGGACTTACTGAAAAGAGATTCAAGCCTGGGCCAACATAGGATTAGGTAGACAGAGCTATTATAATGGGAGGGCTAGGGACTGTGGGTCTGAACATACCCAAGGGAGGAAACTCGAGGCAGAATGGGTTCGGAATAGAAAGAGAATGAGGGGAACATTTAAGAAAAAGTACTTGTTCTCTTCACTTGTAACTGGCTTGCTGAGCATTTTGTTGCTTTTGCATGTTCATTTATTCAATGTCACTGTACATCACAATCATCAATGTATAATTTTACTTATCTTACTGATAAACAGGATTGATTCTGGAGGCATTCTTGTGAAGGCCAGTCATCTGAGAGAAATAAATTGACAAGGAGCAGAGCTCCAACATAGCCTGTGGGACCCAGTCCAAACAGGGCTATGGTTAAGTCTTATCTATAAGTTAACAGCAGCTTGCAGTGTAAAAGCGCCAAGCAACTACATCTGTCTATATTTAGTTTGTTTTTGTTTGTCCTGATGCAAAGAAAAGGTTTTTATTGATTGGAAAAAGAACTTGCAGTTAAAAGCACCTAATCATACTCTTCATAAGTTATGAACACTTTTTTTGAAGTGCAGTCATTGTGATCACTTGGAAAATAAGGCACCAAACATGTGTACAGCAAGATCCCACAAATAGTAAGTGAATGAATGATGTTGTATCCACCTGAATAGGTGTAAAAGGATTCTATTAAGTTACGTCCAAAGGATAGCTACTTTGATAACGTAGCACTTTTTCATTAATGCACTCTAAATCCACCCAGATTTTGTTCTCCAGTCTGTAACAAGGCTTGAACCCCCAATTATTATTTTTCAGCAGTGCTACCAGTGACAGTTATCCATCTTGCCTCTATTCTGAAATGAAACTAAAAGGCTGAATCTTAAATTTTTCAGCCGTGCAAGTTTATTGGAGGGTTATTTGCTGGAACATCTAGCTGTTTTCTTGCTGTAGCTTACCAAATGAACCTTGCTAACGACATCTCCCACCCCAAAGGTGTCCCTCCTGTCTGATTCCAGCCCCACCTTACCACGCACAGTTCCCAGAACAGCTCACTACTTAATAGATGTTCCAGATTTCACTAGCGTGCCTTACATCCATGCCATTTTTGAAAGCCTGTTGTGCACCCAGCAAAACACCATCAGCCTGGAGCTGTCCTGCACGATTGCTGACATTTTCCCTTAACGTGGCAGATAAGGTTAAGGGGAAAATGTGTGCCCATCTTTGCGGGCTGGGACCTGGAATTCTTGCTGGATGACAGTGCACACAGACTTCATCTTCCCCCAGGACTGGCAGTAGAGGCCACGACAGACCATGCCAGGCAGCTGTGAGTTTGCCACCCACGTTAAAGCAGTCTCAGCCTGCTGAATGAATGGATAGCACTGTAGGAAAAGGTCAATGACCTCTACTCTGCCAGCATAAATGCCATCATCTTCTTTCTGATAACTCGCCTTTATTCTGTCTCTGTTACTGTACCCGCCTCTCCAAGATTTATGCTTCACCACTCTCAGTATTGCCTACAACATCTTCCCACACTTGCTGTCACCTACCCACAACCTGTAGCACTGTGTCCTCGGTGCTGTCTACTCACTCACTCAAGGCCACCTTGCACCAAAACTAACAGTTTTGCCATCCACTTTCATTTCCCTTTATTCTTGCCTGTTTCTCATTTCAGGAGATAGAGCCCTTAGTTGAGCAGAAAGAGTCAAGACGGTGGCGTGCTGCTCGACATTTAGAATCTCAACACTAATGTGGAGAGGAACCTGACAGTACCTGAGCAGGTCCTGGACTGCTGTGCCTTTGACTTCCTATGCTGAGATGGTCTGAGTAAAGACTATGCCTGTTGACTTTACTGGGGCCTGCTGACACACATGACAAGCTTTGTGTCTGTGCTTAATGGCAAGGCAAGACAGCAGTATTACGAGTCTAGTATCTCTGGCTGAGGGAAAAAATGTAAAAAGGAAAAGACTATGCATGGCAAGGAATCTGTGAGCGTCAATGTAGGGTTGGAGTGAGTGAGTGATATAACAGTTAGCAAAGAGCCCAGAGATGCAGCCTATTCTAGTCTGTGATCTGGGTGCGTGTCCCTGACCACACAGCATCCTTACTTCAGCATTACAATAAGAGTTGCTGGCGCAGCATTGAAGTACAGAAGTGTCCTGTAAGTGGATGTGCCGTGACGGTTCATAGAGGCTGGCACATGTCAGATGCCAATGTCTGTGATATGGAGTGCGTTTGGCTGCTGCCTGTAGAGCATGCCCTGAGATGTTGGTGTCCACTGTCCCTCACGGAGCTCGTTTGGAGTAAGCAGTGAGTTGAATCGGCCTGGTACTCTGTGGTTTCCATTGCCAAGTTTTCTTGACGCTGAGCTTGTTTGGCGATTTTTGCTAAGACAGAAAGCTGAATATGAATGAGGTGAGTTGGGCTGATGTTTAATAAGCAATAATCCCCCTTAAATAGCAACCTGCTGCTGCCTAGTTAGAAACTTGCCAAGCATTAAAAATGGTGGAAGATGTTCCTGACATTGAGATCAACTTCAACGCACACTTTGTGTTCAATTGTATCACACACCTTACCATAGCCATCATTGCTCAGACCCCTATAAGATTCAGGCCATAGTTTTGGGGGGAAATTCAGTATTCAATTCTAATTATGGAAATCTTCCAAGCAATATTTTAATATGATGGAAATTATGATTATGCCGTAAATAAATAAGATTGTCATTTCATGTTGACACAGAATAGTAGGCTTCATCTTCTATAAGCAACATTTGTAATGGTATATTTTCATCTGCGGATTCTGTTATAAATTTTGTTTCAACGTGATTAGAACTGACTTTTCTAAATAGTTACATGTAGCTAGTTGATAGAGGCTGTTTGTGTATTTGCTTTGATTTTCCATAGTGTAGTTGAGCCACTGTGTATGCACAGATGTGCATGCTCTGATAACTCAACATCATTTTCCGTGCATGGTGAAGTCGACATTGGTGTGTTAGCCACGGATGAGGAGTCAGGGAGGAAAGGCAGATGCTTTGGCCCCAGTTGTAATGGAACAAAGGCCAGGAAGGAGAGTGGAGGCTGATAGAAGCAGGGAGTAGATGACTGCATCAGGATTGGGATGAGGAAGGCCTACACCTGCGAGGGACGAGGCTGCTAGACGAATATAAAATTGACTGTTTTTTTCATTTTGTCATTCGTCCTGCAGCACCATCTTTAAACAAGCAACTGATTCCTATCATGTGAGAACCACGTATGTTTTCTTTCTGTTCTTGGTATTCATAGCAACCTCAGCCTTGAATATTAGTTACTACATGAGGTGTAGTATCAATAGGTGATTCCCCCAAGATGGAGGTGATTTAGCTTCTGAAAGCTTGGCCAGAGAGAGAGAGCTTGCTTCTATTTAAATTGCTAGTGCCTCATCCAGAATAATTTAATTATGTTTCAACTGTTGTCAACAGGTGAAAGTTGTTGCAGAATTAAGTCTCTCTGCTTTATTTCAGTATTTCGGCTGGGTAACACAGCGGATGCGGTTCAGGCGGCCAGAAGAAATGTTCAGCTTTCGGACCCAATTCTTCGATTTTGCCTTACCGTCATTCCTCTCAGTCGGGCTGTGTACTTCATCTGTGATAATATTCTCTGGATGGGAACAGTGGGACTTAGTGGTATCAACAAGGACAAATGGAACAAGCGGTGCAACCACTACTACCTCTTCTCATTGATTATCAGTCTAAGCAGAGATGTCTATGAGGTTTCCCAGCTCCTAAAAGAAACAGCAATGGCCCAAAAGGTCCAACAGTGTAAATCGATAAACCACCTGAAAGCCAATCATTTGCAAAGAGATTTTGTCTGGACATTAAGGGTCAGAGCTGAAGATTTCTTCATACTGCTTTATCAAAGCCTTAAAAATAATCCTCCTGTATTACTCGACATCATTAAAAACATCTGCGACTTATCCCTACCTTTAGACAAGCTAGGCATTTTCAAAACCAATCCTGGAGTGGTGGGTCTTTGTGGTCTTATTTCATCAGTTCTGTCAATTTTAACTTTGACGCACCCAACGTTGAAATTGAGACCATGAACAAACCACCTGCTCTATGAACAAAAATCTTATTCTTTCTATAATCTGTTTATCAGAGAATTTCCGGGAAGTTAAATAAATTGCTTTCAGAATGCAGGCTGTGGATTCTGAAAGCAGGCTATCTAATATGGTGTATTTTAATGTTTTGCCCTCAACATGAGCACTTCAATTGTGTTGAAAAACAGAAGTTGCTGGAAAAGCTCAGCAGGTCTGGCAGCATCTGTGAAGAACTGTTCTGAGGAAGGGTCACTAGACCCGAAATGTTAACTCTGACTTTTTCTTCGAGTTAACATTTCGGGTCTAGTGACCCTTCCTCAGAACAGTTCTTCACAGATGCTGCCAGACCTGCTGAGCTTTTCCAGCAACTTCTGTTTTTGTTCCTGATTTAGGGCATCTGCAGTTCTTTTGGTTTTTAACTTCAGCTGTGTTTTCTGGCTGTGTTTTAGAGTGCAAAAAGTTAAGATAGTGACTTCTAACATGTGCTGAACTTTGAACCTTTATAAAATCTGCCATCCTACAAACAGGTCACTTCTGCTCTGATTCTGGCATGCTGCTAGATATTAGAGCAAGCTAGAACGCCCCTATCTAGAATTTATGTCCTGACTAGTATGCTGAGATTATAAAACTATATGTATCTGCCACTCTTAAAACAAAGCTTTACACCGCCAGCAAGCCTGTCCAAGACGAACATGATTCCTCTGTAACTTTTGAATATTTGTCTCAAGAATATTTAGTGTAAGATTATTTCTACTGGCTGGGTAACCACAGATTGTAGGTTAAGGATTATCACTTGAAGAGAAAAGGAGGAAGAAATTTTAGATTCTCTGGAAAATATTCAAGCAGTTGTTGAAACTAATATGGTCTTAGAGGTTTGAAGTGGGTATCTGCAGTGGGAAAGGATGTGAACTCCAATTTATTCCTAGTGCTGGCATAGATACAACAATACAAGTGGGCTCTTTTTTTTTTGTACTGTCATGTCAATGATTTAGGCCATCTGAGCAAACAAAAGCGGAAATTGCTGGAAAAGCTCAGCAGGTCTGTCAGCATCTGTGGAGAGAAATCAGAGTAAACGTTTCAAGTTCAGAACTTCTGAAACAGGGTCACTGGACCCAAAACATTAATTCTGATTTCTCTCCAGACCTGTTTTCCAGCAATTTCTGTTTTTGTTTCTGATTTCCAGCATCTGTAATTCTTTCAGTTTTTCATCTGAGAAAACGGTTCAGTTATCAAACTGTTAATTACTTCAAACTGAAATCTGTCTGTTACATCACTTGCTGAAAAGGGCTCTTTTAACTTGTAACGTTTTAGCACCCACATGCTGTATTTGGTGTTGAACTGAAGCTTCTTTTACTTTTTTTTTTTGAATTTTTAGTTTGTATTAAACTACTTTGTTCAGTAGGAAAATGTTTCTTCACAGATACTGAGTAAAGGTAGCTTCAGACTCTCCTTTAGTTCATCCATGCTTACATAGTCAACTAAAACATTTTTTTCCTGGTTCATAAATAAAGCATGGCTGCTTGTTTGATTTGAAGTTGATCAAGGGCAAGAAATGTGATGAAGGTCTGAGCTTCTTCCCAAGGGCATTCTCATTTTTCTCTCTCTCTGTCTTACACATCAGTGTGTCAATGTGAGAATATTTGCTTTTGAGACTGGGTTTCTGACAGTGATGATGTGGTGCTTTTAAATTTCAATTTATTGTGCAATATTTCTGACATAAAAAATTCAGGCTAAAACTTGCAGGACTGAATCTTCTGACTGAAGTCAATCAATAATTTCTTTCTAGTTTCTGATTCTCATGATTATTTTTAGCTGTCTCCCTGGATTATTCGGGTAAGAGTTGAGAACCAAGATCAACTGCTGTCACAGATACAGTCTACCCAGTGTTATATGGATTTTAGAAGGACTGAGGCAGTTTGTTCAGTGTTTGTCAGGCTTGTTGCATAAAAATTTCTTCTAAGTCCAAAATGTAAAGTTTTGAAACCCACCAAAAGAATTTTATTTTATTTCTAATCCTCGAGGTGCTGTAGCTCTTGGATAAGGGAGTGGTAGTTCAGAATCTTGTCTTGCTCCAAATCCCAGGGTTCGCTGCAAATAAAAGTTTACTCTGTGTTCTGTCCTTTCCAGCAATCACTCTATTTGTGGCATTGGCCCTGGTTTTACTTTGACTTTCCTATCATAGTTCCTGTCTTCCCCTGATATCCACATAAGCCCTTTCCTGCAAGGGTTAAGTGATAGGCTAACTAGATTTTATACTTTTTTGATCCTTGAGCTAGAAAGACATCAAGCCCAGCATATGATTATCCTCAATACTGCCTTGTTTGAGATCCATTTACTTAGCTCAGGTTGAGAATTGAACTTGGGTTTTGTGTGACAGTACAATAATTACACAGTGCACTAAGCCACTAGAATATTGAGGAAAACCTACTATTAATGCTTTCATTTTAGATGTAACTTGCAACTAGCATCAGCTCTGCATTCAAGTCAGGATTTATTAGCTAGGGCACAGTACTGTTTTCAGAGCCTTCGTGTTATACAAAGACAGGGTAGTGTCATGCTGCAACATAACTGCAAGGTGAGATGTTTTGGGAGAAATAACATAACTTTTCAATTAGTTCAGTCAGGGTAACAATTGAAATATTAAATTAAGTGGCTAGAAAATGAGTTGTATATATTTTTTCTGTCAAAAATGGTAAAATCTTTATGAAATGAAACTATATTTGACTTGAGCATTTGAGAGTCTCTTTAATGGAAATGATAGCAACTGAATTTAGAACCAAAAACCATGTTTATTGAATAATTGTTGTTTATTGAAAAATCTATGCAAACCAATGTTACATTTTGAACATTCGATTAAAAATCTGAAAGGAAATTTTGTGTTGGGATACTCTTGGCAAGGAACTTCGCCTGAAAGGAATGTGGGCTTGAGATGAGAGATGACTCGGAAACACTTGGACTATTTATGCATTTTGAGCCCTCATCGAGTGAGACCGAACCTTGCAATTTTTCCCTGCAAAATTTCCCTTATTAAGTGTTTGAGAAATGACTATTTCTGTATCCTAAATTAGGAAACCACTAGTTTTTAGTGACTACTGCAAACCAATGCTGCTATAACCTGAATAATTTCACTGTGGTGTTTTCTGTGAACTCTAATAAACTAATGTATTAATTACAAAATTGTTTTGTTTTGCATTTTTAAATGCATTCATTTTAGTCATATTGCAGGTGCAGATTTTAAAATACTGCACATTTAATGAGAAAGAGGAAATTGAGGGATGCAAACAGCTGGTAAAGTGGAGTTGGAGATGGTGTCTTAAATCTAAGCAAAGTAGGTGCAGGGAGGGAGGAAGAAAGACTTGAGTGTATTTGGAATTCAGATAGGTCATGTGATAAAGTTAGCATTAAACATTCAGAAAAATACTGTAGATTATACAAAATGTTTTAATCCTAAATGTTAACGTGAAGCTGAAATTCTGCTCATTTGACAAAACTGAAAAGCTTGCATTCCTTGAGCACCTTATGACACGTCTGGAAAGGATTTTAGAAGTTATTTCCTTATAATGAAAACACCTACCATGAACACCTATTTTCCGTTTATATCTCTTCTATATTACCGTTAGCACTCTGTTCGCCTTTTACTCCAGTTGCTCTCACCATCTGTTCCACTTGATTCTCCTCCCCCTTTGTCAATAGCATAAAATTTTCTAATTGCCTTTAGTTCCAAAAAAAAGTCATATTTGACTTGACATGTTAATTGTTTCCCTCCACAGACACTGCCAAACCTGCTGGGTTTTCCCAGTAATTTCTGTGTTCATTCCCAAATAATGAGTTACTCAAAGTTCAGTGCTTAAATAAGCAATAAAAACGAAGTGAAAGAAATACTCAACAGGTCACACAGAATCCATGGAGAGAGAGACAGAGTTAACGGTTCAAGTCGAATGTAATGTGCATACTTGACTGAACTCTTAACTCTGTTTTCTTTCTGCAGATGCTGCAAAATTGAAGTTTTTTTCACCAATTTTTTTGCTATCAATGCACAAAATTCAAAATATTTTGCTCTTATACCTGTAAGTAAACCTGACAGACAGTTGTATTGTGGACAGCTTTATGATTTGGGTAGTGTTATAATCCTCACCTTTTATTCCTGTTTACTGCAATCAGATAGGTCATACTCAGCATGCAAGCACAACTGAATATGGACCTTAAGCAGAGTATATTTAGGGTAATTCATATCTATGTGCACCATTATAGAGTTCGACAACACAGGGGCCCATTGAGTCTGTGCTAGTCAAAAATGATCACCTATCTATTCTAAACATTTTTACAGCCCATAGCCTTTTATGTCTTGGTATCGCAAGTGTACATCTAAATACTACTTAAGTTGTTATGAGGGTTTATACCTCTACCACCCTTGCAGTCAGTGAGTTCCAGATTCTCACCGCCCTCTGGATGGAAATAAAATTCACCATTTCTGCTGTAAACCTCCTGCCAGATACCATCGATCTATGCCCTTGGTCATTGATCCCTCCACCAAGGGGAAAAGTTTCTTCCTGTCTATGTCTCTCATAATTTTATATGTCTCAATCATGTTCCCACTCCGTCTCCTCTGCTCCAAGGAAAACAACCCCAGTCTAGCTAATCTGTCTTCATAACTAAAGTGAACTCTTACCATTGAAGTGCGTGCTTAAATATTAAAAATTCCACCAGAACTGATGGTATTATTTTCCACCTGATTTCTAAGCATTGTTCGATGACTTGGAAATTTAATAAAGTTCATATGCAGTATATGTCAAAAACCTATAAAAGCTCCAAATCCTCATTTGCTGTCTTTGCTAAATCAAATGTAAGACGTTGGTCTCATGGTTCCTTGCTCCGAAGGCTTGACTGTGAAATGAAGCTTGCTGAGCCCCAGAGTTGAAAACTGCCGATCACAAACAGCACAATCTAAGACACAATGATGGGTGCTTTGAATCCTGTCTTAATTGGCACTAAGACCCTGTTTCAGCTTTAGATAGGATTTGCTGATACTGACGTTATGCACCCTGAAGGGTTTTGCAGGATAAAGATTATCTTTAAGGTTCAACTATTGAGAACAGAATACATCTTGCCCCACTTTATCTTCTTCAAAGCTTTTAATCCTCATTCTGGACCTAGGCAATGACAAGTAATGTAATATGTGTTTTACACGTAATTCTGCTCATCCTAATCCTACTAA